CATTATAACAACGTCATGGTTTAGAACAATCATTCAATTCTACTTATGCTATGGTTTACTTTCAATTTATTATATCTTTATGTACTTACTTTCAATGCTTTTAAATAGCTGACTTATACCAAGGTACTATGACTCTCAACTTCATTTCTCAAATAAATTAACTAGTTTCTATATTTTTTCAATACTTTCACATTTTTAATTTTTGAAAGTAAAAATGAATTTGTATTTTTAAAATAAATGTGTTATAAGAATATTTATTTTAGCTAAACATGGCATATTGTATAAAAAAATTAATAAGATTCTACTTATTTTAACTCATTTTACTCATACTCAAACCTCAGTTATTGGAAGAAATATTTTCTAATTATCATTCGATAAGCCTTGGCATTATTTGTTAAAATCAGCGCCTGTCATTACTATATTTTTTGCTTCTCAAATTTCATACTTAGTTTAGGCTAATTGGTATAGAGATCTACTAAATGTCGTTACAACTTTATAAACGAACTTCTTATTTATCAATAAACTTACTCCATATATCCGGGATCGTTCGTATTTTTAATATTGTCAAATAATTGTGGGGTTTGTTTGCACATTTAGTGCTCTCTACATTTGATATATTTTTATTACTTTATTACTAAAGTTGATTTTTATATTAATTTATATATTATAAAGATTTCATTAAGTCACTATATTATTATTTTTATGAATAAGAATAATTTGTTCTTATAGCTTAAGTTTGATGGCCAAAATACTTAAATCAAAAATAACATACACGTAGATACAAAGAGTAACTTGGTTACGATGCAAATCTTGAGATAACATTGTTAGGGGGACCTTCATTTCGAATGAAAGTGCAGGAGGAAGAAATTCGTTGATCGATCTCACCAGATGTGGACGGATGAAACTCGTTGTATTGCAGCCGTTTAGCTTTTATACGATATTCATGTTGACGCATTCCACGAGACTTCTTCCCTCGTTTCGGGAGTAAACGTGCTGCTTAAGAAGATACGATGAGAAACTGGGTTTCGATGAAACTCATTTCATATAAAAGTGCATGAAGAAGAGATTCATAGGTTGATCTCCTCAGATGAGGGCGGTTAAATCGCGTTAAACTACGACAGTTTGGCCTTGATACAAGGTTCAGGTTGATGAAGTCTACGAGACTAACTTTCTTGTTTCGAGTAAAAACGGGCTTAGCTTTCGTCCATCATATGATGGACATCATCAGAGCAGGGTTGATTCCCGTAAAAGTATCACGTTAACATTGTAGATATGAATACCAAGATGTTGTAGCCTCTGGTATGGTCGCAGTCTTCTTTTGATTTATAGAAGTGGGTTGACCTCGTTATCGCAACTTGGCAGGAGTAAAGTGAAATACTTGAACCATGGAGATAGCAGATGTATCCATTTGTTAGTCTCATGGACTGCATCAACCTGAACTTTGTATTAAAGCCAAACGGCTGCAGTTCAACTTGATTCAGCCGCCCTCATCTAAGGAGATCGACCTACGAATCTCTTATTCATGCACTTTCATATGAAATGAAAGTCTCTCCAAAAATGTTATCTCAGGAGATTCATCGAAACCCAGTTTTTCTTGGTATCTTCTAAAGCAGCACGTTTTTACCCGAAACGAGGAAGGAAGTCTAGTGGACTGCGTTAACATGAATATCGTATAAAAGCCAAACGGCTGCATTACAACAAGTTTTATCCGTCTTCATCTGGTAAGATGGACCAACCAATTTTTTCTTCATGCACTTTCATTCGAAATAAAGGTCCCCCTAATAACATACATGTGTTACCAAAAATAAGTAAAATCGCGTATGGCAAGACAGTGGCATCACATACTCCAACTTAAAAAAAATCTCAATCTGTTTAGAGTCTTCTATCTGAGTTAGTGAAGCCAATGAAACAATCCAATTATAACTACTCTAACCTTTTTGCTACTAATACGTGGATATAAATAAAAATGTTAAGGAACTGGCAATAGCTAATAAGTCATAAATATATTCACTCAATATTATAAACATTATATATGGCTAGATAGAATAACTCACAATGAATTTTATTTAAAATGAAAGACAAGAAAGGCGGATAAAATGTTGAGGTGAGCTAAATTATTCATCTTGACTGACAAAATAAAAGATGCTCCTAAATTAGCCTGATATGCTAAATATTTTGTTATTAAGTTATTTACTAACTCACTAATTCGATTTCATTAGTTGGTGCAAGATGCCATTAGCCTATCTTATCTGGGCCAGCTTGCATCTTTTTCCACCATAAGGAACCGATCTATCTTCTTTATATATATGTATATATATATATATATACTACTTTCCTCCTAACTTGACGTTAGGGATTTCAGAGTGTCCTCTAGCACTATAGACTTACACAACCATATGGAATTTTTATTGTTCTGAATGCAGCTAGACTGAACATTACAACTCCTAAAATCAAGTGGTGTCATCTGAATAAAATAACTTACCGCTTTGCAAGTGGAGCAGCAACAAAATTTGGTCAATTCATTTATAGATCAAATTTCATCTCTCACCGATTGTCCAAATCGACTAAGACGATCATTTTAGTTCACTAAATCTCATTGCCATCTATTTTACTTTTTACAAGCTTAAGACAAATTAAACTATTCATTGGATACAAATCTCGCTTAATAATTAATGCCAGTAGGTAGGGAAAACTCATGGCTACAAGTAAATCATTGCTGCTGAAAAAAACTTTATTGATACTATTTATATTTAAAGGGCTGTTTGAAAGTAATTTTCAAACTCTTGGTTACCGGGGGTGCAAAAGTGTATATTCATTAAATATATTTTTTCATAAATCACAGTTTGCAATGGGCTGACGTTAATATCAGGTATTTCTGAGTTTTCAAAGGAAAGTTGCCTAACCAAATCGTTTCTCATCCTCAGAGAATGCGGAGTTAACCAGAGCTTTAGTAGGCTTGCTGGAAAAAAGTTTATGAATTACATAAGACAATTATATCTGCTAATCACAATCCTGCTTCATTTTTCCCTAATAAAAAAATCTGTAATTCCAAATTCTAAATCATTTCTTTCATAAATTAGTCCTCATCTCTTGCATGGAAGGGCAAAAAGCTTCATTTGAGGATGGCCTGCCAGCTGATTACTCAAACTTTGTGTCGCTATATTTTGGTACGTCGACAGTATCTCTGCAGGCCAAGACATTCTGATCAATGCATTTGTGATAATGTCACCCAGCCAAGCCTCCAGCTATGTTTCGGTCTTATGCCTTCTGAACCTCAAACTACCTGCTCTGAGGATGCCTGTTATGCCAGCTGTCCATCCTGGTCAGCCTGGAGCTACTGTCCCCCCCTTGCCTGTATTAAAGCCGACTCCGTTGTGTCCCGTAAACGCCAATGTCCTTGTGGGCCCAGCGACTATACAATTTTGGATGATGTGAGAACGCTGTATAAACCTAGAGAGGGAGTATGCCAGCAAGATGGATTCTGCGAACAGATCTGCCGAGTCAAAACGGAAGTTACGCCCGAATACAGCACGAGCATTTCTTCTGATGTGGCGGCTATTTCAGTTTTTCCCACTTGGGTCGCCTATCTGCTGGCCCCACTCAGTGTCATAACACTAATAATAGTGCTACTTGTCTGCTTCAGATTGATCAAGTTATTGATGATCAAGAGACGTCGTCAAAACATCGAACCCAATTCTGAGTCGTTGCGGGAAATCAGTAACTCTGACACTATTCAGACACACCCAACTGACTCAATGGGCCTCGAAGCCGGTGATCGGCCAGATATCTCGTGGAGCAACATTCTGCCGCATTTCAGTCCCACTAGAACATCGGGTCTTCTGCCGCCCCCCCCACTGGTGAACCCGGCCTTTACAGAGGAGGATCGCCTTCCTCCAGATTACGAGGAACTGAGTAAAGTAAACTGCCTACCACCAAATTATGAGGAAGCCAACAAGCCGGAAGAACAACAGCAGTTGCCGCCACCACCAGCGCCGCCGCCGCCGCCTCCACCTTCGCCACCTTCATAGACTCAATTGGAGGAGGGAGACCGTTTTCGGAAAATTGGCTTTAACGCCTTAGGCTACCTTGAAAAGCCCGGAAACGCTCTCCAGTGATATCAAAAGCTAGGACCTCTGAAATTCCCTTGTCGTGTGTCTTGGCATATTTAAATTTATCCAGATTGAGGCTTAAATAACAAAGTGTGCCAAAGCAGTTCACAGGCCAAGGGACCAGGTGCCCTGTAAATCCTTTATGTATATTCATTCTTCAAGTCAAGCATATTCTTTCTTGCCCATACCTATACTGGCTCCTAGAATAGCTTCTAGGTTAACTTGTTCTTATTCTCATCCAACCTGCATTCAAACTTATTTTATATGCCTTCATACAAGCCTAGAAGGCTTGCCAATCTCCTCATGATAGATCTCCAAGAAGGTTACAATCTTTTCTTGTTTACAGTTTATTTGAAAGTTCATGTTGTTC